GGGGCAGGGGTGAGGTGACCTGAGCGTGGCCAGCCCAAGGGCTCTGCTGCTAACATGCCTGCTTTAGGAAGATGCTCTGCTGCCACCTTGTGGCCAAAAAGAACCTGGCTGGTCTTGAAGGCTCTGGGACACACAGCCACACCTAGACACCTTATCCATTCTTTGGGAAGCCAGGTGCAAGTTTTGGTCTCTAAGCAGAAGCTGATCCTTCCTGTGTCTTGTAGAATGACAGCCACTAGTTTCTTGTGGGTTGTGTAGGCTGTGGCAGTCACTGTGCTTATCAGTGCATCATCAGCAGGCACTAGGTGGCTGGAGACTAGGTGGAGGCCCTTCTACCTAGGGACTTCTCTGTGCCCAGACACCTCATGCAGGGGGCTTGATGCCAGGCTGGACAGGGCCAGGGGGCTGCTCAATGCCTTCTGCACACTGTGGCATCCTTCAAAAACTTCCAAAGGAGCCACTCAGCCCCTGTGGTATAGATATAGCCTAGTCTTTAAGAGAGCTCCAAGAAACAGCTGCCCTGAGGGAGTGCTGGTTTTGTGGGGTTTTGGTTCTGTTTGGACAGTTCCAGCACAGAGCTTTCAATGCCAGCATTATTATTCTTTGTCGGTAATTGATATGTGAAGCAGAGCTGTGACTGTCACGTGCCTTTGGAGCAGGTGTTGAGTATACAGACGTGGCTGGAACCTGTCTCTCCCAGCTCTTCTCCCACTGCTAAGCAACCCATCCACTAGGCACCTTGTTCTCTGTCCCCCTCAGTCCTCAAACACTGGCTCCTCCTCAGCTACTGTCCTGTGCCTCCATTTTCAAGGGAGGGGAGTGTGCTGTAATGAGCAGTCCTATTCTCTTGTTGAAGGATAGTTCCTGTGAGTGAGAGATAGAACAGGTAGGGAACTCTTTTGTTTTGTTTTGTTTTGGAGACAGGGTTTCTCTGTGTAACTTTGGAGCCTATCCTGGCACTTGCTCTGGAGACCAGGTTGGCCTCGAACTCACAGAGATCCACCTGCCTCTGCCTCCCGAGTGCCACCAATGCAGGGAACTCTTTAGTTAGGGTTTCTGTTACTGTGATAAACATCATGACCATAAACAAGTTGGGAGAAGGCTTACTTTGCTTACACTTCCACATCACAGTCCATCATTGAAGGAAGTCAGGGCAGGAGCTAAAGCAGGGCACATGAAGGAACACTGCTTATTGGCCTGCTCCTCATGGCTTGTTCAGCCCACTTTCTTATAGCACCCAGGACTACCTGCCCAGGGCTGGCACCACCCACAGCAGGTGGAGCCCTGTCTTATGGAGGCATTTTCTCAGTCAGGATTCCCTCTTCCACCCTCTTCCACTGGGTCTGGTGGTTCACACCTTTAATCCCAGTACTTGGAAGGTAGAGGCAGGAGGATCTCTTGGTTCCAGGCCAGCTAAAGTGAGTTCCAGGACAGTCAAGGTAACAAAGAGAAACCCTGTCTCAAAGAACTAAAAGAAAAAAAGGATTTCCTCTTCCCAGATATGTCTAGGTTGGTGTCAAATTGACAAAACCAATCCACACAGGAAATTAAAGTAAAAAGATTGTATACTTCTGATCTGTAGCTCAGGAAGGTTGGCCAACGTAACATTAGGAAGTGTGAGTCAAGAGGGCTGGAGTTGTCTGTGTCCCTGGACCTGCCTGAGGTCCTGGGAAAGGCTCCTCTGTGGAACCACCTATTACATCTATTGCTAGGAATAGGGAAGCAACCATCCTCTCCACTCTTAATAATCCTCTCCAGTCCCACAAGAATTTAAAATGATTCTCCCCAGAGATCCAGCCCAGGACTTGAAAGTTTCCACCTCTCCTTTTTAGGAGTACCTTGATTGGAGAGGCCCTAGGCATTCCCATAGCCCCAGCCCCCTCAGGAATGTGCTGCTCTCTTTCATCTGCTAGTTCTCACTGGGACCATGGGATTCTGAAACTGGATGGGATTTGGAGTTGGGCTGGGCTGGGTGGAGCCAACAGGGAGGATGATCAGTTTCCAGGGACACTCAATGAAGCACTAACAGAAACTGGTTTCTCCCGATCTGTTGCTGAGGCCAGTGGTTGTCCTCTGGATGATGGGAGCTGGCTGTCTGGGCCAGGAGACTCGGGGTGATAGTGCAGTGTCCATCATATGCGGAGTTTTGCCCCATCCTGGAGTGAACCTGAATTTTCTGGGTATTTTCTGAGGTGCAGCACACACTCCTGATGCTAAAAAGACATTGGAATTAGGGCTGTTTTAGTTTACAGTGTCAGCTCAGGCAGGTGAGTACCACAAATTCTCACTGCTATCACCTGGACCTTGCCAGGCAACAGGGGGCTCAGAAGTTACTCCCCGGCACGGAGATTTTTTACTTTTGGCTTTTCCTGCTGCCCTTTGGTCTAGTCCAAGCCAAACTGTATCTTCTTGAATTTTATAATCTCAAAATAGAAAGACTTCCTCAGTTATCAACAGCAGTGGCTGTAGCACCAAGCATCCCTCACTCAGCCTTATGAAAACTGAGATGTGTGGTGGTCACTTTGCTAAGTTCTCCAGTACAGAGAGAAGCCTGAAGCCTAGAGGTGGCGTAAGATTTGCTTGTCTCCTGGCGCAGACTTGTAACTTCTAAGGAATCTGGCTGGTCCTGGGGTCCTTGATCTTGGTCTTTTCGCTTTGGAGAAAGAGAAAATGGCTCACTTTTGTGAAAAACGGTGCTTTGTGTGGGGTGTGCTTGGGGACTGTTATTTATTTGGCCTGCTCTTAATGACAGCTCCTCACCTACCTGCCCAGTTTTAGGAGGAGCCCTGGCTGGAATTTCCTGTTTTCTGAGGCCAGCGGCCCCCCTGTCCCCCCCCGGGCGGCCCCCCCCCCCCGCCCCCCCCCGCCGTTCCTGGGTGTTCCAGGCCAGACTTGCCGCCTCTCCTGGTTAGGCTGGCTCCAGGCCCTTCCAGGTCTGGGCTTGCAGGCTTGAGGTGGAGGAGTTGAGTTGGCCCGCTCCAGGTGCCCAGAGGCCGGAGGTCCGT